ATTTAATACTGATGTATCCCATTTTTGACGCACTTTCATTTGGTATAAAATTTGCTATTGGCTCTATTTAAAATCACAGCATTACTTCCCCCCCTCCCCCCCCCCCTGGAAAAAACATTTTTACACACCCTGTATAACCAGCCGAAATAGGTTTTATAGATAATTTAATATTATGATATCAGTTGATGTACGATCAAATAGCATAGAAAGATAGACCTTTTTTTTCTCTATAAGACTATATAGAAAGAAAGTTCTTTTAAGCCTACTATACGGTATTAAAGTGTCACTGCACGTACTTTTGGTATGCCCTAAGTATATATCTGAGATAACGGAATATACCAAGGATAGATATGATATAGTTGTATTATACCTGAATTATTACATCGAAGCAAGAAAGACAGTAAAGGAAAACCCAAGAGAAAACAATAAGGAAAATACCTGACAGAAAGAAGGAGAACGAAAGAAGTAGATATAGTTGACAACGTATATGTATGAAAGGAAAGAAAGAGAACGAACACACATATGTATAACGCAACGCAACTCTTTCTTATGGCACATCTGTAGTATGTGCCATAACAGTTACTTGTATGATTTAAATAATAGAAAATAAATATATATTTGTATAAAACTTACATTTCACTTTCACTTTTCATTTCTTCTACAAATGATCCACAAACAACAAAGACATGTTTATATAAAATTTAAAATTTCTATTCCACTTCTTCTATAAATCTTGTAATTAAAAACTCAAATATATACAGTGAAGGTCAAAATTATTCAGTACTCTGTTATATTTGTTTATTTTATTGTTATCATTCTAAAACGAACTGAACTACTGATTTAGGTACATAATATTCCACAGACCGTGTCATAAGTCTAGATATAAAAGATGCTATCTTCAGGTTCATTTTCATCCTTTTTTTTAAATACAGATATGGATGGCGTCAGTGAATAATTTTGACACTTATTGTATTATATAAAATTTAAATTTTCTCTTGCATTTCTTGTATAAAGGACCTAAATACAGAACAAATTTTTCTGGTATATTGGACTCATTACACTAAAACAACACAAGTTCTTCAACTCTCAGAATATAAAATGTATATGGATGCAGTCATTACCCCTTATGGTAATACACCAAAACAACTCAAATTCCTCAACTATAAGAATATATATCTCATTTTAGGGTAACGAGGTCATTACATCAAAACAACTCAAATTCTTCGATTGTAAGGATGTATAGTTTAGAATAGGATAACGAGATTATCACTCCTAGAAGTAACACTTATTCTATAGAAGTGAATACACTTTACTTGAATACTCTACACGGTATTATGACCTTTAACTCTCAATAACAGGTATATTGATATTATGACATGTATGTGATTCTTCTTTGATTTTGTTGATCAGCATTTTACACACTTCTCTTACTTGTGGTATTAAATTTCAAATTAAATATATATGAATACAATTAAATCAACTTGTATACTTGTAAAGATGAACTTCCTTTGTTATACGTTTTATCATTAATTAAGACATTTACATATGCATTCTTGTCAATGGAGTTCCATAGACAATCTTTCAAACATAACTAAGAATTTCTTTTTAGGCAAGGAATGTATTTTGAAGGTGTTCTTGGTATTTGTTTGAAATATCTTTCAAAGCTTTTTCTTTCTTTATTTTCTATAGTTAATCGTTGTTGATTAAGATCAAGAATTTAATATATTATCATCACAATCTATTCCATCTTACTGCATATTTTAACTTTCTCCTATATATAGAATGCGAAAGAAACACCGATTGGTGTGTAATAATTTTGTTATTGAAATCATCGTCTGTGTTTTAGTCACTCTCTCACTCTCCAGAGAGAATATATTATTTCATTGTATATATGATATAATCGCCATTGAAATTCAATTTTATTCACAGTCGGAAAAAAAAATATGACCTATAAAACAAATATTATGCCAGTGAAGTTCAATTCGCTCTTTATATAATAAACATTTCCTTCCTTTTTCTTAATGCCATGTTTTTTTTTTTTCATTTTGATGTAAATGGGCTCAAACACACTAGACGGATGATAAATCAACTTAAGTTGAATTAAGCAATGCGATTGGCGCATTAACATTGTTTAATTCAACTTTGACATTAATTCACTTCTCTAGTGTGTTTTAGTTCAACGACGGCAATGGAGTGAGTGTTTCGATGTGAAGAATTGACTGAACGAAAAAAAAAAACATTCAATACCTATAATCGTAATGGACATACGTCAATATCATACATTTTTTTAAAGGAATTTATCTATTCTTTTCCACAATGACGAAAGCGGTTATGAGCAAACAATGAACATTTATATATATATATCGTTATGACGACCCATAACATGGTCAAAATAAATATGAATCGATCTGATGCCCATCTTCTCGACCTACCCGATGAGATATTACTTATCATTTTGAAGAAACTCAGCAATGTTGATGTTCTTTATTCGTTATGGAACATTAATAATGAACGACTTAGCATTCTAGCAAAAGAAAAAACGTTTAGTAACGTACTTAGTTTTGTATTCATCAATAATCTTTCTTCAATTGATCGCTTTTGCATCGATATATTGCCTGGAATTCATAACAATGTGAAATATTTTATTCTTAAACCAGTTTTAATGGAACGTATTCTTCTTGCTACCGACTATCCGAATCTAACTAAACTCAAACTTTTTTATTTCAAAAAAGAAATCATTTCACATTATTTTACAAGTAAGTAGAATAACAAAAGAAGAATGATATTAAATGGAACAGACTGAAAAAGTATTTCATTATTTATATAGACGAATCACCTCTTCGATATATCTTTCAACAACAAATTACAAATCTTATTCTTGTAAATCATGACACATCCAAAATGATAGGATCATTGAAAAATTATACTGTAAATGTGTATGCACATATCTTGAATTTCTGTAAAAATTTAAAACAGTTGACTATTATGGAAACATTCTATATATCACATCCAGGCTTGATACTCTCCAATTTACCATCAACTACATTCTCTTCTTCAACTCTTACTCAATTATGTATCGATGTGTATACTTTAGACGATTGTCTTTATTTACTTGATGGTCGACTCAAACAATTGGCTACACTTATTGTTCGAATACATTACATAGATAACTCTTCAACAATCGTTCATAATATGGTAGGTTTTAACAAATAATGTTGAACATAAGATTAGTCTTCATTGAAAAGGAATTTTTAGTTAGTTGAAATATGAATCTGATTATAAGATAAAGTTATTAATAACGTGTGTGGTTTAATTTTTTACCCTAATTACAAAGTATTTCTTTTTATTTTGTAGGATAATTTACCAAATCTGAAATGTCTCTCATTAAAATCTTACATTCAAGTTAAGTCATATGATAATACAGTTCTACCTCTTCTTCGTCGTATGTCATATCTGGAAAAATTAACTTTATATCTTCGTATAGAGGATCGAGATAGATTCATCGATGGTACTCATCTTGAAAATGAAATTCTTATTAATATGTCGCAACTTCATTCATTCACTTTTTATATTTGTACTTATATCGATACTGTTAATTTAATATATAATTTATCTAATGAAGATGTTCAACGAACATTTATTAATATTGGACAACAACATATAGCTAGTATCATCAATTATATTGATCCTAAACACATTGTATGTTCGATCTTCTCAATTCCTTTTACATTTGATCGTCTTGAAGATATTGGCAATATATTTCCAAATATTATATTTAGTTATGTTACATATTTGTCCGTAAAAGATGTGGTTCCATTCAATCGTGAATTCTTTATTCGAGTTGCTCGAGCTTTTCCGTTACTGAAGACTTTTCGTATTTTAAATTACGATTCACAACCATTATGTAATCTTAATAGTAGTCAATCATATGAAATTGCTGAATATCGTTATCTTATCTATCTTGACATGCTATGTGGAAATATTAATTATCTTGAGCAATTTTTAAATGAAGAAAAGACATATGTACCACGTCTAACCAAATTAAAAGTCGTTTATAATAACTTAAGAATTGTAACAAATAATTTTACAAGAAAAGAAATGCGACGTAATTGCGCTAAGATAAAGCAACTGCTTATGGTAATACCGCTGGTACATTCAAAAGATTTCTATCTTTATTTTCCTTCATTATAAATGAAATTTTGTTTTGATTTGTTCAATAAAATTAAAAGCGAAACAAATCTTATATTTTGGACAGCGGCATTAATATAATATATTTCATAAACAGTTTTAATCACTCTGTGTACACCATTTTTGAGTGTTGAGATTCTCTTGGATTAAATAGTAGTTAACATTTAGTAAACTATTTTGTCTAACCTATCAGGAATGTTAGAGAGGCAAAGGTTTTCATGATTATTCCAAAGCATTTATAACCAAACAATTCATTGCTCCTATTCTTCAGGTAAGTTACATTTATACTTTTTTTTTGTGAGGATATAAGTAAATCTGAAGAATGAACACAGCAATGGTCCAAGATGAAAGGTGTTTTAATAAGTATCATATCTATTTGTGAAGCACTTAAAAATATGCCGGCAAAATTTCCGACCAAAAGCTCGGTGTCTGTCAACTTCATCAAGATAACTATTAGCAATTCGGATGTAAATATAGATCAACTTGATCAGTTCTTCATGTATACTGGACATGACCCAAACCGTTTGGATTTGGTGAATTTGGTCTAATGAGTTGGGATTTGGGTTTAGGTTCAGTATTAAGACTAATGGAATAATTTCCTTGACTGTAGCTTGGGCCTTCAAGTCCTATATTATGGAGGTATCTTTTGATACACAAGTCCTGTGTTATGGGGACAGCTTTAGGCCCTCAAGTCCTATATTATGGAGCTACCTTTAAGTCCTCAAGTTCTATATTTTGGGGGGAGGGGTACCTTAAACCAAATGCGCTAATATTTTGGAATTAACTATAGTTTATCTAGACCTACCATTTAAGAAAATAAAATCGAAAAAAAAATTTTTTTTCTCGGCGACCTATATGGAGAGTAGGGTGGTCTTCTCGCGGACCCTCTCTTAAGGACTTAAAGGTACTCCCTTCTCCCAAAATATAGAGCTTGAGAACTTAAAGGTAGCTCCATAGTATAGGACTTGAGGATCTAAAGTTATCCCCTAACATAGGACTTGTGCACCTAAACGTACCTCCATAATATAGGACTTGAAGACTCTGACTACAGTCAAGGGAATTATTCCGTTAGTCTTAATATTGAACCCCAAACTCAAACTCAAAACCCAAATGCAAACTCCCAAACGGTTTGAGTTTGAGTTTGGGTTTGGTGCATGTCCAATGTATACACAGATTGTTAAGGAAATTTTATTTCACATTAATTTTCAACAAGAATATTTAAACAAGCTTTTGACGTACTGTCGCCAACTGTTTATCAATGGCAATATCGTATTAGAAAATGTCGATAAAATGGAAAAGGAATATTGCTCTCATTAACCGATTTGGTGGTATACATATTAATATTTTATTTATTCCATGGTTAATAAAGCATTACGTCCTAGAGAAGTTGATCTCATTTCTCAAAATGGGCTTCTTCCTTCAAGACTTTCATCAACATACCGTCATACTTCATTTCGAACAATAAGGTAAACATCTTCACTTGAACTCATCAAATGTATATCGTAGGCAAGATTTGTCTTAAATAGATTTTGATTCACTAATGAAAACACAAGATGGATTATTGTCGTTTAATAACTTCTTGTCGACAAGGTTCGATCGAGCAGCATTACGTATCTTTACCGAGAGTAATACATATAATCTTAATTTGATAGGCGTTCTTTTTCAAATAGCTATCAATTCTTCGACGTCATCTACTTCTTTCATCAGCATTCACGATATTACTACATACAAGACAGAAGAAAAAATTCTCTTCTCTATGCGTTCTACTTTTCCCATAAGACAAACAACACAATTTGATAGAAATATGCTTGTCCTTCTCTTAATCACAGATATATATTATATAGAAATCACTTTTCGTCTGTTTGACGATGACAATCTTAATGATATATTTATTTAAAAAAAATAACAATGTTAAATAATTAAATATTCTTCTTTTTATTTTTACAATCATTGACAACCTTTAGGTTCTTACAGAATAATTAAACATTTTCTTTATGGTTTGTCAATTTTTGTTCAATCATTTCTGAAAATAAAAAAAAAGAAAATTAAACAAAACATTATTAACCTTTTATTTTTCTTTACCTCGTTTCTGTGTCAATGACTTAATTGATGCATCCAATGAACTTTCTTCAATTATAAGTACATCTATAGCGTGTCTTAGTTCCTTTTTCTTTTCTGAATAACGTGGATCTTCTTTCTTTAGTTCTTTTATAGATTTTTCATTTTTTACCACTTCTTGCCATTTCTGAATTTTTAAATGAGTTAAGTCATGAATCTTAAAAAAAAATTTTGTTTTCACTATGAAATATAAAATAAAATATTGTAATTTACCTTTTTATCTAATTTTATCTTCAGTTCTTGCATCTATTAAATTTACATAAAACATTTTACGAAAAAAACATTTTCATTTTTCATACCTGTTTAACATTATCATCCATTGGAGAAATATCAACATTCTAGAGTACATAAAATCAGTATTATCATACTTTTAAATAATTTTTCTACTTGTAATTCATTTTCATTATCAGAATAATGATGATTAATATCATCTAAATCTTCATGAACATAGATTTCATCGATCATGACACTCTAAAGAGAAAAAAAGAATTGTTTTTTCTTATTTATCTAAATGCATTTCATTTACCATGTGTCGATCAGCATCACCTAAATCACTAACAAATTTTTTATTCATTATGACAATCTAAAGAGAAAAAAAATACTTGTTTTCTTATTTATCTAAA